TCAAGGCACTTTGTTCACTCTAAGATGCACAAAGCTTTTCTACTTTTTAGTGTTTTTAAAGCCTGGGTTGTAACACATCTTGCTCTGCAGAGGTATGCTTTCCACAATGAAAACAGCATTTTGACCAGATAAAAATATCTACATCCCTCACTAACCTTTTGAAATACACATAAATGACAGCTACACTACTTAAATATACACATTTATTTTTAAAGCTGTTAACTGTCATTATGGAATGGCTTGATTGCTAGGAGCACAGTAGTCACATCTCTGCATTAGTAAGTGCAAACCACTTATTTCTGCAGAACGTTCCTTGGACACAGTATGAATAACACTGTCTCTAGCGAGTCCTTAGTCTATGTAGCTTAATAGTTGGCATGTGTAAAGGTAACAGTCTTCTCTAGAATACACTCTAAATAGAGTAAATTACATATTACCTACATGCATTTTGGCTGTGATTCATCACCAGAACAAGACATCCCCTCTAGTCAGTTCAGCCATTTTCTTTGTATTAGACACTAAGAGAGAAATTTAAAAAAAAAAAAAAACACACAGCATTTGAAAAAACCTTCTCCAGCTTCTTTCTATGCTGCATCTTTGGTTTAATCAAGTTGGAGGCAAATTTTTTTTTTCCTAAATGAATCGTTTTACACACATTTTTTAAATTGAACTTCAAACCTTACTACCTATGAATGTGACATAAGTAAAAGAGGAAAACTGGTATTAACAACTCTATATTATCACAGTACTTTATTCTATGTCAAGAAAATAATTTATTCCTTACTTGTAGTATAGACTTGTCAAAATCTTTACCCACTAACAATGATCTGCCTTAAAATAAATTACACGCTTTTATGTCTGGTCCAGATTCATACAAGAAAAGAAATAATAATATGTTTTCCAAAGTAGACTCTATTTGTATATTCTAAGATATTTCCACAAATATTTAAAATCTTATTTCTTTCATACTTTTCCTTAAAGCATCTGCTGAAAACTGATAAGATGTTCTACGTTGGGATCCTTCCCATCCTACTGTATAATTATGCATTCTTCAGTTGTAGTAAGGTCACATTTCTGTAAGGAAAATAGTTTTGATTGTATGCATTAGAAAAATCCAACACTAGCTAAATGCAAAGCAGATCAAAACCACAACAGCTCCTTGTACTTTATGAACAAGAGGAGAAAAAACCCAATGTTTATGGTTGCTTAAAAGTACCTATCCACAAACTGTAATAGAAAAGATCAGCTAAATGTTAAAAAAATTTAGTTTAATCATATTTCTACTCAACAATGAGAACAATACATATAAAAATAAAACCCTGAAACTCTGATGCCAATTGCATTTAAAATACAGTCAAATGTTCTAGCTTTCTTTCAAAATCTGGAGAGCTTTTTCTTACAGTCAAAACCAATTAAACTTTTTGTCATGGTCTGATGTTAATTAATGGTTTTGTATTGACCTCAGTGAGCACAGATGTTTTGCAAGGTGCATTCCGTTAAAAGCTATTGATAGTCTAAATACTTCATAGTAACTAGCTCTGTCTTTCTCCTCCCTGTATTTCTCGTACTCTGAACTAATTAAAGCTAGGAGTGTTTATTAGTAATTTAATTGAAAAGACAATAATCTTTACCCTTACTGAAATTGCTTTGACTTAGCACAACACTTCTGTTTTCCAGACTAATCTGTAAACTAAACAATAAAGAGCACTAGATCTGAAGAAGGTTAAAATGTGAATTCCAGAGCGAAGACAATCAGCGAAGATGTAATCATTCACAGGAATGCAGAATGGCTGCGGGAAGTCAAGATGACCTTATTAATTAGGCAGTGCTATTAATTTAACAGCTCAGAAAAAACAATGTTTTGCTGAAACAAGATATTACTTTGTTTCTAATGTGTAAGCAAACATAAGAAGAGGCAGTGAGCATCATGTCTTTCCTGCAACTCAGAAGTATGTTATGAAATATTCCTGTTTGTATGAGGTCTCATCAAGAGTCCCCACCTTAAATCTAGAGTGTTGGATATGGGCATTCACAGCTATCTATTTTGAGAAAAAAAGTCTATGTTTTATAAAGCCAAGAGGTTAATAATTTGTCTCATGTTCTGTGTCTGTGACAAATTAATAACCTATGGAGAGTTCAAGATGATGCATTTTCAGAGCAAACCAGAAAGTACATAAGACCCTCTGATTGTCAAAAGTCTCACAGCCCTGACACAAACTGAAGAATTGGGTCTTCCACTCCATTCTCTCATAATTTGTGATGCACAACAGCCCAAGAAAAAGTAGCTGGGCTCCACTTTACCAAGAATGGAAGAGGAATCGGAATCTCAGTATAGCTAATCATTGCTTTCTGCTAAGTAAAACCATCGAATCTGACATGCTTTTACAATCCTACAAATTTCCAGTCCCTAAAATCTCTATGGCTGTCCCACAGCAGTTGGAATTCACTGGTACCAAGTAATCACTGTTGTGGAGATACAGAAATCGTTCTGTGCTTGCTGTTGTGGAGAGAGATATCTGAAAAAGGATTTGTATAACCTTGTAGTGCTCCTACCAAAGCAACTAACAGCTGTAATCTCACACCTCTGTCAGTGACTATCTTCCCCATCTTTCTTCCACTCACAGGTCTTGAGACACAACTAATGGACTGAAAGTTAATCTCTTCCAACAACACCTTGCTTAAGATTTACTTGTACCAGCAGCACTGACTCAGTACTGGTCTTTACCCAGAAGCAGCTGAGGTACAAATATGTTTTGTTCTGTTGACTTTGCAGCTTTAAGCAGAAAGATGGGAACAGTCCATTGGTGAGGACAATGAAGTCTTAAACCACTGCAGCTGTTACCTAAGGGGTTGTTAGCAGAATCCTAACTGAACTTTCAGGCTATATCTAGACTACTAAATTAAAACTGTTGGGACCATGCCAATCCTTGAAGCCAGCTGAGAAGGATCAGCCTGCATTTGTGCTGGTTAAATCCTTTAGCCTCTGACCCAAACTGGTTACACGCTAACAGCTGTCAGGAGTGTGCCCTGACACATTTTTCACTCTGTTTATGCCAGGTACTGTTTCAGAGTAATGCACTCCAGTGCCCAGCAACCTTCTTGGGAATAAATTAAACATACAAGTGTAGATGCAGAATCCTTTTTGTTATTGTCAAAGACTAGCTTATACAAGGGTTGGTATTCAGACTGTGCTAGGTGGCGAGTGCCATTTTCTTTTCCTCACACCATTAAGGTGTCAAGGTATAAGAGATTTCCGGCAGTTCCTAAAGTAATAATGTATCACAACACCCTATCTTTTTGGATAGGATATTTGAATGCATCATAACATTGTATCTCTTTGGTCCTTTTCATTCTTGAAACTGTAAGATCAAACAACTAAAGCCATAAAATAATATCAAATTTTCATTCAGCATCCTAAAATGGTGAATTTTAATTTGTTTACTCTGAAGATAAACACTTCAAAATTTCAGACTTTCCTTATTTTTTTCCCCTAGCTCAAGTTTATTTATACTTTTAAGAATAGTTGGATAAGTTACATCTTATATTAAGTAAGACAGATAAACCAAAACCAGGTCAAAGGACTAATACTATTTTCCCCTCAGTGGAGCTAAAGCAAAACATAGCCACCTAGTGTAACAGAACTCTTCCTGGAATTTAATCAAAGAAGGGCTGAAAATACCACAAACAAAAACAAGAGATGCTGAAAATTTCCAGAGGGACATGGTCATGAGTTTTCTAAGTTGACTATAGTTACCTTTTTTCATTTTCCAAATCACATTTTGAACCCCAACAAGAATACTGGAGCTGGAGCTCACTGCCTTTACTTTTTCTACTCTTCAGCTTGTGAACAGCTTACTGAAAACTACCTGTATTTCTGCCAACATATTTTTTTTAAAGGATAGCAAACTTTGGCAGTCAGGCAGCTGAACCAGATGCTCCAATGCAATTTCTGGAAACTGAAAATAATAATACAGCAATTTAGAACCCTGATAAAGACTGATACTAAAAAATGCCTTATGTGATTTCTAGAGCACAAAAAGACTCCAGGTTTGGAGGAGTTCTGACACAGCAGCATGGAGGCACTGCAGCACATGCTCAGTGTGCTGGTTTTTTTCTAGTTCCCAAAGTCATGTCACAAACAGTGCTGAACTTCAAGTTGCTGAAGCTAGATAGCTGGCAGTCTCTAAGCTAACATAAAGCCTATCTGGGGTATCTATAGACTATACTGAAGCTTTTACACTTTTTTCCACAAAATAACCATCAGTATATTCTATCATACCTTTGCTTTTCTAGGGAAGACAGAAATTTTGCCTCATAGAGGGTGGGGCATTTATTTTATGATAGCTGTTCTGTTGCACAGTGAGTTGTACTCACTATGGTAACATACTCCTGTCTATGTTAAGCAGGATGTTTAACAAGGTATGTTTCTGCCTCTTATTTTTTTACACACGCTTTCTCTGCCTCTAGTACAGCAAAACATTCTACACTTGATAGAAGGCAACTGCTGTTCTGGAGGTTTTTTTCACATGGGGCTTTAGAGTTTTCATTCCTACCAGGGCAGAAGAACTCACTGGTATCCTTGCTTCTTTTTGCTACTGAACAGGTGTTAAGAAGTTTTGTGCTACTGACAGTATTCTCTTGCTCTCTAACAAAGCCTAACAGGTTACCTTTATTTTGGAGGAAAAACTCTGAAAATATGTGCAGGGATCTCTACCAAACAGAAGGCTCAGACATCCATATCGAAGTGTGACTATACAATTAATATTTCTAAATCATCTTGCCGCTGTAGGGAGAAAATTCATGTGGCCAAAGCTCAGCTGGAGTTGCAGCTGGCCAGAAATGTGGGGGACAATAAAAAGAGTTTATCAAATACATTAATAGCAATAGGCAGCATAGAAATATCATTGGCCCATTATAGGGTGAGGATGGTTGCCTCACAAACAGGGACACAGACAAGGCAGAGGTGTTTAACGCTTTCTTTTCCTTTGTCTTCAACACAGATGATGGATCGAGAAGGTCTCAGTGCCCTGAGCTGGAGGACCATGACTGCAAGAATGATCAATTCCCAGTTGACACAGAAATTGTGCAGGATCTGCTGCTCCAGCTGGATCGCTACAAATCTGTTGGCCTTGATGGGATTCATCCCAGAATCCTCAGAGAGCTGGCTGATGTAACTGCAAAACCTCTCTATGATTTTTGAGAGGTCTTGGGACTCTGTAGAGGTCCCAGCTGACTGGAAGCTAGTGAACGTTGTCCCAGTATTTAAGAAGGGTAAGAATGAGGACCCTGGAAACTACAGGTTTATCAGTCTTGCTTCAGTGCCTGGTAAAGTAATGGTGAAGATTATTCTAGGAGTTATTGAAAAATGCCAGATAGACAACACTGTCATTGGTCACAGCCAGCACAACTTCATGAGAGGAAAGTCCTGCTTGTCAAACCTGATTTCCTTTTATGACAAGGTAACCCAACTAGTTGATCAAGGGAAGCCAGCTGATGTAATCTTTTGGATTTCAGTAAAGCTTTCAATACTGTCTCTCACGGGATCCTTCTGGACAAAATGTTCAGCACACAGCTGGATAAACACATCCTGTGGTTGGTGAGCAGTTGGCTCATGGGTCGAGCACAGAGGGTAACAGTGAATGGGGAAACATCGGACTGGTGACCCGTCACTAGTGGGGTTCCACAGGGCTCCATCTTAGGCCCTGTGCTCTTCAACATCATCATAAATGACTTGGACACAGGACTGGAAGGAATACTCTGCAAGTTTGCAGATGACACAAACCTGGAGGAGCTGTTACCTCCCTTGAAGGCAGGGAGGCCCTGCAGAGAGACCTCAACAAATTAGAGGACTGGGCAATCACCAACCACATGAAGTTCAACATAGGGAAGTACTGGATTCTGCACCTGGGCCGAGGCAACCCTGGATGTTTGTACAGACTGAGGAATGAAATGCTGGAAAGCAGTGCCACGGAAAGGAACCTGGGGATCCTGGTTGATGGCAAGTTGAATATGAGTCAGCATGTGATCCTGTTTACCAATGGAATCCACACATAGCAGCATCTGCACAGCTGAGAGGATACTAAACCACAGCAAAGAAATAAACGTCCCAGTAAAGAAGAAGATTTTACAGATGAAAACCATCTCACCACAAGCCTATGCACTGACACCAAGCTCAGGGTTTTGTATTATGTCCTTCCATTTGTCTTAGAGACAACTTGTTAAAAATGCATACAAAACATTTCTCTTTTTGCTATAAGCTAAAAACCAGTGCTATTCCTTCTCTAGACTTCAAAATACTTTAGCACCCACTAAACATTAAACAAGCTCACATCAGTCAGTGTCTTTTAGTAATGCTAATGAGCTTTGTATCAAACAAATAAAGGTCATTATCACCTGTTATCATCTTCTATTTAGAGAGCTACATTCACACATTCATAATACAAGTAGAATTAGTTCTTAAGCTTACTTATGATAAACATCACCTTTAGGGAATAATAAGAAATATTATTAGCTTGGTGGTTTTTTTCATTTCTCATGCATTTTTGTTCCTTTTTTTTTTTTTTCCAAATTTTTATAGAGTAGTATGTTTGCCGTTGGCCCTGCTGGAAAAGGATGTTGATTTCATCATATGTTGTTTCTATCCAGTGTCCCAGCAACAGGTGGCAATTTCATCCATTGCTGCCTTTACCTGAATAATTAGCTTTTCAATAACTGAGCTTCTGTTGGAGTCAGAATAGAATTGGCAATTTAGCTACACATCATGAGTGTAAATGTTGCCTCTCTGGGGAATATTACATCTGTGTCCTAAGTGTAGCTAAACAGAAAAGTAACTATCCTGCAAAAAAATTTTTGCAAAAGTACTGGCACCAAAATCAGATCAAATGCTGCAGTAAACTCAGCTTAAACCTTTGTTTCAGCAGTGTGGGGGAGCTCTGTTTTGTGTTTTTGTTTATTATTTTACTAATAAAAACTTATCAACGGAGAAAAAATGCAGAATGATGAACAATGCTGTCAGATATTAGATATGAAATAAGAATTTTTTCCCTCTTCTGAGGTACAGTGGCCTTGAGCAACTCACACTGGGGCAGAGACACAAAGAGCAAGGGACTGCAGCCATGGACGATGCACATGTGGGGCAGAGGAAAACCTGTAAGAACAGCAGAGGAGCAAAAGAGATAAAGTGTTACACAGGGTCCCCAGACTCCTGCACCAAAGGTTTGGGAGGGACCAAGTGTAATACCCAGCAAAAGGGAAAGTGAGACCATGATGAAGGAGGAGAGGTGTTGGACTGAAATTGAGCTCAGGGAGGAGTTCTTTCCCAAGGTATTTGATTGTTTATTTTCTGTCTCTTGTAATCAGTGATGAAAAGTTTGTGTTAACTAGAAATAATTAGGAAAATAAAGTGAAATTCCCAGCTGAGTTACTTTTGCCTGCAATGATAGGCAATATAGATATCTTGCCTGTATCTACCTATCATCTAGATACCAACCCTGTACCTCTTTTACAGCTTAAGTTTTTATTCCATTTCATGCCCATTTCCCATGACTACCATTATCAAGTGAGAGGCACATGACTTTTTTTTACACTCCACTCAAATGAAAAAAAAACAGAATACCAAATTCAGGCTAGATGTAAAGAGCTAGCTGTAAGGAACAGGGGTTTTCCCATCCTGGTGTAGTCATGTTGCCAGAACAAGCTGCAGCTGATCTTCTGCCATACCATTTCCTTGCTATTGGAGATCTCTTAAATTATGGCTTCTGTCATCTGACTGGTTGATAGGAAAAAGAAAGTCACCTTAGAATATGAGTTAAGGCAAAGAGAAAGCCTAGATTTTCCTGTGAATGAAGCTATCAATCACCTGTACTCTTAGGCAGATGCTTCCATTGTTTCTGAGTAGAGGGAAGATTTTCTTCACTTACTGAACTATAGGGCAGTGGTGTCTGAGTTTGTTTAAGGTAAGATTGTTCTCATCGTCAGATCAAGCTCAGCTACATCAGCTGTATTCTCAGAACAGCCCAGTCATCACTATTTTGGTGAACTCGACCTCTTCATCTCATGCCCTTTTATATCAGTATTCAGCTATCAAAACAAAAAAAGTCATTGGCCATTTGGCCTAATATTCATCCATCTAGTTTGCATTTTTAGCAGTTTAACTCACTCCATTTGGTCATTTTGTCTATAAATTTTGTCCTGGGACACAAATGGAAAGGAAGTCCTTTCTGATAAATTCTCATTTGACTTATAGTGGCATCAATCTGGTATGTTAAGTAAAGTAGTGAAGTTATATAGCGAGTAATGGGTGAAAACTAATTCACATCACCTGAATCATAGCAAGTAACAAGGTTTTTCTAACGGTTCTTTTATCAACTGCCTTCTGTCCTGAGAGGCAATTTAACCTTTATCATTATGACACCACCTATTTATTGGTTCACTACCAATAAGAAGCAGTACTATTGGAAGATCCCTCAAGAGATCTCCTTAACAGCAACTGTGCTTGTTACAGTCTGGTCTTTCCGACACCCTGATTCCCTTGTTGCCTCTTCCTGGGGTTCTCTGCTGGATACTAAACAAGCACTTCCTTCAGGGTAAACATGTGAGCCAAACTCAGAGCATTATATGGGATGCAAAGGCTTGACCAATGTTTTTAACTCAGTGATGCCTCGTTTTAAGGACCCAGGCCTATTAGCATAAAGGCTTTTACAGATTAGTGGTTTTCCTACCTGAAAAACACAGCTAAGGTCAGATGCTGAAAATATTAATTCTGCATTGCAAGCAGAGATTTATTGTTCTGTGTAGAAAACTGTCCTTTTCAGTGAATAACTGCAGCAATAAGAAAATAAAACCATCTATCATGAACACATGAATTTTTTAGTAATCCCATGACCAATTTAAACAATGAATCCCTGAAAATGGAAATCTTGAGTTCTCTTTCTGTAGAACCCACTGGCTGTTAATCTTGTTGAAGTCAGTCAAATCACCTTTGCCTCAGTCTCTGTGCATTAACCTACATCAAGTACATAAATACATGGTGGCTGAGCCATTTTATTCATTTAGGTTTGTGAAGCTGATTTCCCAGACAGAGGTACTACAGAAAACATTAATATTAAAAGTTACGATTGCTCATAGTGAGATGGCATGGCCAAGACAACTGGAATGCAGAAAAACTGTAACCTACAAAACCTCATAAGTAGACACAACTGGATATCTGAGAAAAATGTGGTATCATCTGAGATTTCTTCCATATTCTTTTCCTTGTTTGGACCATAAATATTCCAAGTACAGTTTTTTTTTTTCCTCTATTTGAGTTTCCATTGTTTGACTGGTAAAAATGTTTGATTTTTTTATTTTTCCATTTAAGATAAGTTTTGTTTATGTTCAATTTTTTCTGAGAAAGACTCAGGACTACTGACTAGGTTGCATTTAAGTGACTGATCCACTCTTAATACAGTCTTCAAACAAGCATTACATAGATGCTTTCACCAAAACACAAATAAAATATATCAAGAGAAATCTGGGGTCATTTAGGTGAATTTCAAGTTTATATGTATGCTTCTTTTCTGGTTTCAACAAATGCTTCACTTACAAAGTAGGATGTGTGATGTAGACACCTTTGCAGTAACAAAAAGTATTATCTTGCTGTCAACACGAACCAAAAATTTATTTGGGACTGTGCTAAAATCCTGTTTCTGCTCTGTAAAAATGTAAACTGAACATTAAATAGAGCTATACCACTATACATTTATTGCATGGCTTCTTATAATTATTGCTGTTGTTACAATGTCAAGGTCAATTTCTTACAGGCCAGTAGCTGTCAAGCCTGCATTTACTTTGATTCTAATGCTGCCTTCTAATCAAGAAGCAAAATTGAGGTTTGCAGGACAAAGTTCAGAAATCAGGTAGCAAGTATTTATAATTAAATTGTAAGTAAAAATACAAGCTCCTCAATGATGGCCTTTATCCTAGAGGAGGACATATATTTGAACCTGTTATCATCCAGCTACTCACAGAGCATTTCAGGGATGAAGAGTCTTTTATTTTTCTAAAGCAAAACCACTGAATAATATCTTTATCTAAATGCTGGGACTAAGGGAATAGAAGGAACACAAATATCAAATACTCTGTTTCTTATTTTTCACCATCTTATTTCTTGTATATTTTTAAAGTGTTTGGCATTGCTTTTTTTGGATATTTGAATCTCTTTCTATCCACAACCATTACCCCCCCATGACACACACACCCCGTCAGAACAATCTTTACAAGCAGATATAGCTGATAAACCATTCTTCCTAATGTTGAAATAAATATTACTAAAACCTTAAGCACCAGTCTAGAGTAAAGAAACGTATGGCGTAACCAAGCACCTCAGGAATTTTCTGCGGAGTCCTTATAGGAAAGAACACAAACAATACTGATTTCTCTGTGGAAACCATTCATGAATTCATCCTTGCGTTAACTCTTCCAATATCCCAGCTCAATGTATAAAGCCCAAAATAGGTTTTGAGAATGCAAGCTAATAAATATCGGGAGACTATATCTTCTAGCACTGGAGAAGAGAAGAGAAGAGAAGAGAGAGGAAAAGCCCCTCCAAAAAAAACTTCCTAGACTCAGATCCCAAAAGCAGAATACACCCTGACCCCCATATCTGTGCCTACATTCCAGAGGGACATATTACAGGACATACATTACGGAATGATGTATCCCAGCCTCCCGTGCAGTCTTAGTCTCTGGCTAGATACTTCAACAAACGTAAAGACAACAATGCCATATGACTTAGGTTTTTCTCCAACAAAAAGAAATCAAGCAGAGAATAAGCTATACTGCTTTTCCCGCAAATCCTCCAGTGCAGATGCTGGGATGCATACAGACCTGGCCAGGGTTAACTGTCAAGAAGCAGTGTCAACACACCCTCCTGTAATGACAGAGCATCAAGGTCATGAAAGTGATTTGATTTGATTTCTTTCTTACTATTCAATACTGTTATTATTCCAGTACTTTCCCAACCTTTACTCTTAGTCAGACACCTATTCTTTGTTTTATATTTTTTGACTCTCACAGACCTGATGAAATAGTATTCTTTCCAGAGAGGAGATCTCAGAGCATCTTTGTGACAGCTCTTATACACGGAGTCTGGACATTCAAGGACAGACTCTCACAATCTTTTGGTCCAAAGCATCTCATGAGAACTACAAATCTTGAAAGTATTAATGACATAAGTCTCTGAAGAAAATACAACCAGGTTCACTTGGAATTATTTTTCATACCCACCAGTGAAGAAAATAGGCAACTGACTGCAGAGGTTATGTGTTTTCCATGTGCTTTTCTTTTTTTTTCTGTCACAGAACTACTTATATTCCACACGTTTCTTGTGTTCACAGCAATTCACCTCCAAGCAAGGCACAGAAAGACCCAGGAGAACAGTTTACAGATCGAATGCAAGGTCAGCAACAAATAACATGATCTCAAAGCAGTGCTTTTAGGGAACAATATTTATCCCGTTTATCTTTTGTTTATTACCATCATTTAAGTCATTCTATTTTGTGAGCTGGTCTCCAAAGGAACCATTTTCCTTCACACAGGGATTGCATATTCATCTTCTGCCTCTCTCTGTACCAGTGCATTCTCTTTTATATGTTAAGTGCCATCAACTGTTATCATCAACAGTTTCAAATAACTCACCTATGAAAACTACAGTTTTATTGTATATAGGCTCTAAATTGATTAGCTTATCATGAATGTCATTAGAAAATAATGTTTCTAAAATGAGAGGTAAAAACAATATAAAGCCCAGTTATCACTTAACCTTTTTGATAAAATATTGATTTAAAATTATAATAAAATTGGATTTTACTGTCTTATTTATAACATTTGAGTCGCATTCTAAGATTCCTCCACTGTTATGAATTCACATAATGGTACATATAGACATTTAAAGATCTGTCCCATATAAAAACTTTGAACACTAGAATATGCATATTTAGTCACACAAACAAGTCATGCCAATATACACACTGCTAATTAATGGCTCAATTTGGTGAAAAATGAGCTGGCATCAGTACAGTAGATCCTCAAGCAACAGAGGAGCTTACTCAAAGTGATGTAACTTCCATGTTGTTAGTAAGAAAAAAATATCATATGTGCTACAGAGGAGAGGGACCATTGGGTTACTTTTTTCCCTTATATCAAATAATTAAAAATTCCTACAACTGTCTAACTGTCTTGAAAATAACCCAGCATCAAAAAAAAAAAAAAAATCACTCTTTCCTTATTAGATTACACTCTGGGGTTTTTTCCTAAAATTTTTCCTAAAAAGGAATAATAATTCCATACGTTTTGTCCCAGGAATCAAAAGGAAGTAAAAATCATAGAATCTTTAAGGTTGGAAAAGACCTCTAAGATCATCGAGTCCAAGTGGTGTTGGAAAATGTTGACATAAGGATCAGAACAACAGGTATACCGTGTATCATGTCCCTTTTGTGGTAACACAAACCTAGTCTCATCTTCAGAAATTATTTACACTAAATTGTCATGTTCATTTTTTTCTGTTTATTTTCATAATAACATTTACAAACTAATTTACAGGTAATACATGCAAAGTAGCCATTTTCACAGCATTATTCTGGAAGCATGTGAAAAACAAAGTGAGTGTTTGGAGATTAATTACATATTTAAAATCAGTACAATTCATTAATTTTTTTCCACTGGCTTGAAATTCCTTTCACCTATGACAAGTGTGTGCTGAACCTCAGGCTTTCCTCAGATTTTGCATTTCAACTCCTGATTTAGCTAAAAGATTCTTAAGACTTCATTTAGTAACACAGCTTTCAGTTGTCTTCATAACTGGTATGATTTTAAAAGACCTCTTACTCCTAGTTTTGACAAAGTCATTCAGCACTTTAACGCCAAAGTTTATTTGGAGCATCTGGTGTTAAATATCCCCCATAACGGGGAGAACTTTTGCAATTTGGCATTTATGACAGGTATATGTCTTCCAAGCACTATTAAATACCAGATTTTTCTTCTTAAGGATATTTAGCGCTGACAACACAGATAATGAATGGTCAGTTTCTAAATTTAACACACAATTCAGTCACTGGTCCAGTGTTTGTTTTAACAAATGCAACGAAAGTATTCCTTTTCTTTCAAACCTATGAAGACACAAAGAAAAAGGAAGTATAATAAATTAAGCCACCAAAATCTTTGTTGTTTCTACAAGGCTAGATTTGCAAGTAGAAGTAGTATTATGTGTGTGTTTGGTTTTCATTTGGTTAATTTTTGTTTGTTTGTTTAAGTTATTTAAGCATATTTGGGAGGGGAAGACAAGCTGTTGGACACATGAGCTGTCTGAGTCTGAAACAGAAGCAGCAAAGTCCAAAACCAAATACAATTTAAGCTTAATTCCTTAGATTCTCCTAAGTCACAGTCAAACCACCTTAGAGAAAAGCAAGTTGGACACAGTGTATACAGCGAGCTCATGCTGTGGTCAGTTAATTCCTAAACTTCATGGTAAATACAAAACACAATAGGTGAAGAGAAGTATACTGTGATACAAAATTTAGGGTCCAGCATAATCGTTAATTTCATGTTCCTTGCTTGGTTTTGGGTGGTATTCAGCCTTTGAGGATCAAGAGGAAGATACCACAGATCTGTTCTCCCTTTGGTAACTGTTCTTTTTTGACTGTGTGCGATGGTTTACTTTGGTGAAAAATTGTGCAGATCCATCTACGTTTTTTAAATGATAAAAAAGACCAGAAAACTTTAGGTTCAGTGACCGATTCAGAGTTCTCAAGAAGACAGTGTTGGTCTAATGGCTGTATTATTCCTTACTTCTCTATAAATATAAAATATATAAATATAAAATATATTTTCAAAAATCCTCATTTTCTGCTGGATTCACATGAAAATAACTTTATCATTTATGAGAAAAAAAAAAAGAATATTAAAAAAAAATTATGGAGCATTTCTAAACATCCTTTCAAGAACAAAGACCTTGCCCAGATAATCAAAACCAGTCAAACAACTGCTACTGAAGAGATAAGAGCTAAATTTTCTCACTATGTTTTAGGTCCACAGCTAGAAAGTTTTGTTGTATATGGCATATGTTCTTTGCTTCCTATTCACACTAAAATTAGCCAGAACAATTTGCAAATCAGAAGGAAATGACAGCATGTCTTGCAACAGGACAAACAGACATTCTTTCCCCTGTCCCAGAAACAAATGAGAGGAAAGGGAAATTTGGACTCCATAGACAGCTTCGCAAAAGAAAAAAGCAGAGGGAAATTATTATAGATTATCCTTGATTATAGAAAGGAAAGAGAGAAAAGATAGAAAGAAATAGATAAAAAAGAGGGGGAAAGAGAGAAAGCTTTCCAGACTCAGTGTTCCACTCACCTTTCTATCAAAGGGATTTGTACCTCAGATTAAAACCTTGCTAACTAGCATCATATCAAACATCCCAGCAGTTCAACTTCGTAAAAAATTTATGGGGTGAGATCCATCTCTATAATGAACAAATCTTGTCCAAGCTGTGTGTTTAGCTCATGTACTGCATAATATTTTTATTTTCCATACAACAGCAATTTCTTTGCTCTATCCCTTCTTGCGCTGACCAGTAAATTTCACAGCAAGGAAAAATATGTTTGCGATACAGATTGGAATTACAACATTATAGTCCTCTAACACGCTAGGAGATGGGAAATTTTAGGCCATCTCCTTTAGGCCAAAGAAGTCAAAGAAAATGAGCAGAAAAGAAATAGTAATTCTAAAGGAAAATACCATTGGTCAGCATATGACTTCATTTATTTTCTGGTTTTGAACTTTTTTGCTCCTTAGCAAACAGAAACATGGGAGGTTGTTTTCTAAAGGAGAAAATACATTTGTAGGGAAATTAGGGCTGCAGCCTTTTAGCAGATGTCACGTTAGTTTGATATACCCTGGTCCTAAAGACAACAAAATAAATTATTGTATATAAACAGTCCTCACACTGCTAAGAGTCTGCAGAAAAATGTACATACAAAAAAATGATTCAGCACATTCATTGCCAGGTTTTAAAATTGCTTTACATATTTTACGAAATTTACCTACAGTAAAAGGGTAAAGCTTTGATGTCAAAACTCTTGTTTCAGTATTTTCTCTTTCATTGACTAAGCAGAAAACCCCAAAAGAGAGCAGCTTTAATTAGCTTTATTGTATTCTGATTTAGTAATTAGACAAATGGATGCCAAAGAATGTATCTATTTTGTTTAGAATAAAATTAATTCCTGAGAGAACTTGGGATTGCAGTATTTCCTGTAATGCACACAGTGAAGTCTGTGTGGAAGGAGGCCTTATATCAAAATAATTTAATAAAGATTACCATAACAGAGATGTTTAGGGGGTTAGATCTTTCTCACATCTCACTTTTTTTTCCTTCACATTTGAGCAAGTGAAGTAATGCAGATCTCCTATCAAACAGTGCCAAACAAGTTTGGTTCTCCTGCAAACCACTACTTGCATAAGCCTATTTGTGCGCGTGAGCTTCTCTCCCCAAGTAGCTCTTCCACTCCATGCTGTGTTGCCTTCTTAATGGGAAACCTGAATAATGCCCAGCAAACCTAGGGCAGGAAAATGCAGTTTTACATCCAGTTTAAAGCTCTAAGTAGCATAGAGCTCTGATTCTGGTTCAAAGTTATCTCAAAGTAGTAAACAACTCCATGTTTACTCCTATTTTAGGAATGGGAGCAATGGCTATTCTGATCTCGGTACAAAGAAAAAACATGGACAACTTTGGGAAGTTTCTCAGTATAAACTGAACACAGCTGCAGGTGTGTGTTCCTTTTTTTCATCCATTTTCACGATATGTTCCCTACTGAGATGCACCAGGACCTAGCAAACAGTTTGAAGCACATCTCCTCATAACTAACTCAGGCAGGAACTGTTTGCCACATTAACACATCTGTAGCTTCTGAGTTAAGCAGCTGAGGAAGGCACAAAAGCAGGGAGTGTAGCATGCCTGGGGACTGTAGCCTGGGCTTAGCATTACTGAAACAATTAAACTCACTTTAATTGCATTGGAATTATTAGCATCACTCCTAGATAACAACCTTAGGTATTTCCTTTCCTGAGCTTTTCAAGGCACCACACAGCCTCTGCTGCTATATCAGTTGCGAGTGAGTTACAATTTAAAGTGAATGACCTTTTCAAGGTCACAGATGAGCTATATAGTGGGTTTTGTAGATTTTTCACATTGCCTTTTATGTTTATTCTGTACACTGTCAGTGATTAATAGGACTTATCATATAAGTCTTGATCCAGAAGAGCACTTGACTACATGCACTGGAGTTGATCATTTAATCTAGCAAGATCAGGTACTGGTTTGAAGTTGAAAGACATGTTCCATTGCTTTGTTATTTATAAGTGAGAATGTTTACCATTATGCAAGGAGAAAGATAACCTGGTAAAACATATCCTCGCTTTTGGTAAAAATGTAATATTCTCAGATTTAGTCCTTGGAGTATGCTTGAATTTACTTCCAATTTTCATATTTTCCCTGAAGATGTTCTTGAGGACACGTCTTATTCTCAATGGCACTGGGGAGAATCAAGTCAAAGATTTCTTCAGGTAGCTATTTCTAGTAATTTCTTTATATTTAAGTATACAGAACCCATCAGATTCATTTAAGTCAAGTGTCCTCTCTATTATCCTAAAATCCACTAACCTCATTCTTCTGACTCTCAATTTCAAAAGCAATTTTGTTCCTCATCTCATTATGCTAATAAAAAGGAAATCTTGTTTAACCCAGAAGAATTTATACTTATCAATCACATCAACTTGAAGTAAATTAATATTGCAATGAAAATGCTTGAAAAGCTCTACCACATCAGAGGCTTACCAAAAGAAACACTTAGGCAGAAAACTAGATTTTGACAAGGGAAGTAAAATACAGGTATTTTAAAAATTGTCTAATCATTAAACTGTATTTCTCTGCTTGTTACATTACTAAACCCAAACTCTTCTTGAGAAAAAGCTGCTCATATGGAAAGGTTTTATGCAAAAGGCATTATTTAAATAGCCAATTAATTCTTTTCAGTAAAGATCAGTATTGACTAGTAAGGCCTATTTATGAAATTCTAGAGATCAGACAGATACACTGTACCTGCAGTTCAAAAAAACTCTCTTTAAAAAACAAAAAAGTCCCAGAATTTATATTAGAGATTAGAACAGAACATTGGAAAATGATATAAAGAAACAGGAAAGTGATAATGACTTTCCGATTAAGTGCTTGACAGCCTGTCCAATTCTGACAACACCACTCGGTTTCATAGATCACCAGTAGCCAGATTGGTAACTTGAATCTCCACCAAAATAGATAATTTTGAAATATCTGCAAACAACCTGACACATCTGGGAATGGTTTTGCCCATGTCCCAGTTTCTTTATTCCATCCATGCATTACAAATCCTGGATAAAAAAGGAAATATTATTTTCATCATCTTATTACAGTGAAAAAATTGCAGTTCTAAATTGGACCATGTCAACTCAACAAACTAAAAAGTGTCTGTAACATTTATGTCCTTTCTAGGAATAGCCAAGATCCCTTGTCACTTGCTTAACACAGTAATAAATAGCAGTAATAAGTGGAGGTGTGAGCTGCATTCTGTATGACTGTACCAGTGTGTCATAGCCCAATAACTCTGTTCTGTAAACAGTCACCTTCTGCAGTGAACAGATCACTCCATTCTCTGCGCTGTTCCTTCTGTGGCCACTGTAGTGACCACGGAGACAACACCAGAAACAGACTGAATGAGACCAACATGTGATTTCACATAGGCCAATGGAAACTTTCACTAAAGAATGCTCTGTCCATCACATTTCCTTCCCTATCGCACTAATAGGATACTTTCATGGAAGGTATTTGACAACAGTTTCTATTTTAAGCTGGTACAAATAGATTCAAATTGAGAGGAACTTGATAAGGTGTAAAGCTGGAAGAAACTAAAATGGTTTGAAAAGTAAAGTTGCTTATACACTTTTGCAGATGCTTTTATGTGTCACCAGCTTCAGAGAAAACGTGAGAAGGCAGAAAACAGAGCAGCAGCTAGATGCAGAGCTCCAAGAGTTTCATCCAGCCAATACTAGTTCTGGAAAGAACATGCCTCTGCACGAGCAGAAGCCTCTGCCTCAGCAAGTGTCCCTCTCCCTCACACTGCCCACAATATGAGGAGGGAGACCGAGTACAGAAGCCAAGATTTCACAGAAATAAAACATATCCAGTTTAACTTCTTACACCTATCTGCACGCTCTAGAAAATTCAACCAAATTGTAAAGGTTGCCATCTGACAGGGATGTCTTTTTTTAAACAATGTAAAAAAAAAAAAAAAAAAAAGGTTGCTCAGGATGTTTTAAGATTATGATTGTTTTCTCCATTCCCCCGCCTGCCAAACTTCACCATTTGGGAGACAGTATACACTCATAGACATTGCAAGGAATATTATATTTGCTTTTGTTTTTTCCATCTAAAGTATATAAAAACTCCATATGAGAAACATTATCACTTTGTCTCTCTATCATGGAGTTTTTAAAGTGACTACAGAGTAAAATCTATGGAGAAATGTAGAAAATTATATACTTTGAAGTAAAAATGGAAAATACTCAACTGTATACTTTTATATATATTATACTTTAAAAGGGTCATTCTAATTATCTCTTTGGTTTTGAATTATGCAAGCACTAGCTGGAAAAGAACACTTATCTAGCTATCAGCTACAAAACAGAAAAACAAATTGCAAGAATTACTGAGCTTCTGGAGTTCGGAATGACTGAGATCTAGTTAAAGAAACATGCTACTTTGATTAAATAGCAGCCTCTGCTCCATGTACTCAAATAGGAATATACCTTAAAATATAACTTGGGGCAACATACTGAAAAATTAAATACAGTGTTCCTGGATTCTATCTGACAAGGCTGCTATAACCCATGTTATGATTCATGGAATTTTCATGTTTTCTTATGTCATCTACAGAAAAAAATTATGACACTTGATATGTCATAAACACAGAGACATATGGAAAAATTATAGCAGATCCATTGTAATACCTTCAGTGCATAGTTACCTTCTCTAAGTGTTTGCAACAAATTCGAGTTATCACAGTAATCTTATCAGTTTTTCAGCACTTCACATCATACAGTGATGGGGGTTTTTGATCTGATCAGAGAAACCTTAAAGCCAAATTAAGTCACTTTATGATCAAGCCACAGCCTCACCATCACCATTTTAACTCCTTGAATCCAGGCCAGACTGCTTGGCTGGAAGGAGCATTAATCAACAATTTTGAAAATGTAAAGAATATAAGGTTTTGATATGCCTAACTTAAAAAACCTGCTCTCCTACCAGATCCACAAAGTTCCTATTAGTATCTTTATATGCATGCAGAGTAATTATGTTAATTCTACTAATTAGTCAGCATAAGTAAAATTGCTTCTCAGCCCTTTCCCCATTATAAGCTGTTAGAAACTCCAGAAAAAGGCTCAGCAACTCTTGGTAAAATTTGTAGCTATTTGGGTTTGATCCAACCATTCTACACAATTGCATTGAAGCACAGCAAACAAGGTTAGGCATTAATGCATAACTGAAGTAGGCTTAATGCTTTCAACATGGATCGGATTCAGACTGGCTCCCTTCCAGAATTATGCTTTTAAAAGCTTATTTAGGAACAAATTACATAGAAGATAAACACACAATTAACCAATCTCCCAAGAAGCTAACAATCAAAATACTCTGTGCTGAAGTATTAAACATATTAGGCTGTTGCCTTCATCTGTCACTTGGTTCCTCAGTATCTATCCTATCTTACTTCCTGCCAAAGTCATGGTTAATTGATGTAAGTACATGTAACTATTTCTTAATTTTAAATTCCATATTTTGAGTACATAGCAATATGGAATGTAAGATGGAAAACAGATCAAGGAATGAAAACTTACAGTTTCCATACATACCTTGTCATTTTCACAGGGCTCAGAAGGTAGGTCCATAAGTACACTGTTCGCAAGTGTGAATGCATATCCAAACTGTGTGATATGAGTGACTTCCAGTGTTACTACCTGCATCTGTTGCCTTCATACTCCTACTAGTTTTCATTACTTCCAAATTAATACAAGGCCAAACTCCAATTGCTTTATTCGTATAGTTACACTAAAATCAAAGAAGGGATGAAATAGCTCAAAGTCCAGTCACATCCCTGTAAATTTTCATTAGATTACACAGGTAGGTTGGAGTCTGGTTTCTTGTTTCTGATGAAGTTTAGAAATTAAATAGGCAGAGTTTATGGCAGCCACTTCTTAGTACACTCAGGAACAGGGCTTTATAAACCCAAGGTCATTGGGAAAATCTGAAACAATTGTTCAAAGTCCTTACTTTGCACGCTTTTAAGGTTAGCAAGAATCCAGATAGGAAAGGTAATGACAGAAGAGTCAGAGTAAGTGACATATGCCCACATAAGAAGGATTTCTTGACTTTGAGCTCGGTTGTTTCAGGTTAAGATTAACAGGTAACTGAAAATACATTTGTCATATAGTGGCCAAGAGGTGATGCTTAATACATCTCTGACTTTTCATTACAAAGGATCAGGTAGTTTAGCCTATATCCCTTCAATGCATCTTTGTAAATCTACCTCCTTCTGCTGGACATCTCACTTTCTCCTTTCCACAGATGTGCCATGACTGATCATAAACTTTTTCAAAAATTCCTCATAATTAACCAGTTATTGAGGGTGCAGTTACCAAACTACAGCTATAATTATTGGTATAAATGATGCACTGTTTACAGGTAGAACCCTATCCAAGCAGACAGGTGAGCAAATTCCACTCTCAGAGGATAATCAAAAGTTATATTCATCCACAGCAGTTTCTCTCATTCTGTTCTGACAAGACACACCCTTCCAAGTATATTTTCTTTGCACTATACTTTTCATGCTACTCCAGCTTCTGAAACAAACACCAGTGGAGAACATCAACACTAAAACCAAAAAAAAGGCATGTAGTCTCAAACCACTAAGGAAATTAATTTAACTATGTTTCTATTTAGTGTTGCATATACTTAATTCTGGAGAGGAAGAATTTACTACAAGGTTGGAATAACAGTAGTCAGAATGAGACACAGAAAATAACAAATAGCTCTTACAATTAGGCTTCACTTCAGACACCTCAGTTTAGCATTCTGATGATGGAGAAGTTTTGATGTAAATTTTCAAAACAGTTTTAAGGTGCAAAGAAAGTGACTAGATTTTCAGGACTTGAGGAAAGAAAACAAAGACAATACATGGACATAAATATGTACACTACCATAATGGAAGTAAGAAATTTCTAAAAAACCTAGATCTTGAAACTAAGTGGATCAGTAGCCCTCCTACCTTTAACTATCATATCTTGATGCAGTGTTCGCATCCAAGCAAAGGTGTCTGTCCACCCACCAGCTACTCATCCAGTGTCTGATCTTTAGAAGTTCCTTAAAGTACCCTCACAGAGTCCTGTCTGGAATACCTTAAAAAACCATCACCCCACACTAAACCAACAGTGGACCCAAATCTGCTTTATATGCATCCAAATCCTGTCCAAAGACAGCAGCAACTGTCACACTGCATATAAACAGTTGCCACTCTACCAGTGTCTCACCTACTTGTCACTCAGGAGCTAAATCTGATACTGGATGAAGTTTGCTGGAATGCAGTTTAAGTTCAGAGGTTTGGAGATGACTGAAGTGACTGCTGTACTGAGCACAGACATACATCAGAGCCGGAAGGTGGATCCACAAGGAGAGCCTGCATACATTGCTGTCTCTTTGAGGCTTCCCTTTTGGTACTCCATGTAGTTTTTTCCTCCCAGTCAGCTGTTGAATCTCTCTACTTACCTGACAGCTGCCCTAGATGGAGACATTTGTTTTCTTTCTCAAAGCTCTGAACCAAGCTGACCTCATCTTTCTGCCTAAATCTCTCGGTTCAGACAGGGGCAACATTTTGAAGGACAAACAAGCACCACTGACCATGCCTTCTGACCTACCTACCTCCCTGTGCCTTGAGAAGAAGCCTAACCCTACGCACTTTCAGACACATCCATGAACTTCAGGAGGGTCCATACTCACTTCTAGGCACTTAATGTCATGTAACTAGAAACTAGTGAACTTTGTCAAGAAGTCTCAAAGCTCTCTTTATAAAGCAGGAATGGAGACTGTCAACATAGAGAAGTTCTGGGATGGGGGACAAACAGGCAGAGATAATAGTATTCCTTAGCCCTAAGTGTTGGAAAAGGGCCATCTTGCTCTGTGAAAGCTTTCACATGAACCAAGGAGCTCGGAAAAAGGGCTGATCAGCATGGTCTATTCGAATTGTCGGATTTGACAGCAAATATAGGCTCTTGGAAAGTGTGCTGAAGGTTGTCAGCTGGCATCTTTGGCCTGTCTCATGGACAGCTTTCTGCTAAATGGGGCTGGTATAAAATAACAGAAATCCTGCATCACAATAAGATTGTGACCTACCTGTGTAGATAGGTTACAGCATGCCCACGGTACAAAACTCAGAAGCAGAACAAGTTTTAAAAGGACTTCCATGGTGCTTTGACCCTGTGTGGATGTGAGGTGCCCACCAAAGTTGCTCTATCACTCCCCTCCCTATCACTGGACAGGAGAGAGAAAATATAATGAAAGCTCATGAGTTGAGATAAGGATGGGGAGAGGTGACTCACTGACTATCGCCATGGGCAAAACAGACTAAACTTGGGGAAATTAATTGAATTTATTACCAACCAAACTCAGAGGAGGATATGAGAAGAAAAAAAAAAAAAACTAAAAAAACACTTTCCCCCCACCCCTTCCTCCTTCCCAGGCTTAACTGTACTCCCAATTATCTACTTCTTCCCCCTCAGCAGCACAGGGAGACAGGGAATGGGGGTTACAGTCAGTTCATCACATCTTGTTGCCACTACTTCCTCCTCAGGGGGAGGAGTTCTTCCCCTGCTTCAGCATAGGGTCCCTCCCATGGGAGACAGTCCTCCATGGACTTCTCCAACATGAGTCCTTCCCACAGGCTATAGTTCTTCATGAACTGCTCCAGCATGCGTCCCTTTTCCATGGGATGCAGTCCTTCAGGAACAGGCTGCTCTAGCATGGGTGCCACACGGGATCACAAGTCCTGCTAGCAAACCTGCTCTAGCATGTACTCTCTCTACACG